GTGTATTTCTCATTTAAAAAATGTAGAAAAACTCATTATATGCTTAAAACAAGAGAATATAATATTTTTGAAAAATCTTTAAAGGTTATTATAAAATTTTATAAAATCATAAAATTTAAAAAAAAAAAGAACTTGATATAATAAATAAATCAAATTTCTTTTAATATAATAATCTTGATTGAAGTACTAAACTTACTAGAATTTTCAGAATAGAATATTTTTTACAATATTTGCTTGTGATAAACTTATATGCGGATATGAAGTTTTAAAATATTTGAAATAAATAAATAACTACTATAACTAATCTAAACAGTAGACATGTATCTTTTCTGTATATAAAGCGCATTAGAAAATTACGGCAATATTACGTGAAAATTACGTAATGACTGTTTCTTACACGATAGTGAATTTTTTCATTTCATATCTGAAGAATCCAGTTCAAGTTGAACTGGATTCTCTTTGCAGTGGATTAACATGATGTATGTCGATCCTTTCACGCGTACCTTCAGTTATGAATAATTTTTACTGGTCACATTGATAAATGCGGTACTTGATTCGATCTGTCGCCATCGATTCCAAGAAGAGAGACAAATCTCATCGTGAAGAAAATATTGACGCTCTTATTTGACGTACTGACAATTTTATTTGACCGCGTTCGCACGCTAGCTCGTTAGAAAGAAAATAAATCGCTGCGTGTTTTCTCGCGTGTGATATTTCCTATAACGGCGATCCCCCGCCCATCAGTAACAATTCCGTTTTCTGCTGATCGCGTACTCAATTATCAATCGGAACATTGTGTAACATCGTCACGACGTTCTCCATCGATATATATGTTTTTCCTTCGACGAAGATTATAGATGAACTCATAAGCGTGTGCTATGTCTGGCTACGCCCGTAATGGAAGAGAATGTCTGACGAATATGAAGCGTAATTATATGGATACTGATCGCAAAAGCTGCGAAATATATAATGTATATACACAGCAACGATTGTTATCTCTTGACGTTCGATTAACGTATCACAAGAATAATACGAATTAATGAGTGCGTTTAGCAGAAAAAAAACCAATTTTATTGGAATATCTAAAAATTTAGCTTATAAATCTGAAAATAATTTTGTTGAATCATTAAAATCATTATGTAGGAAACTCAAGCATAACATAATTCTGTGAAAAATGTTGATATTTTAAGCTTCAGCATCCTACATAATTATTTTAATAGTTCAACAAAATTATTTCAGATCAGTATCTATATAAATTTTTAGATACTTCAGTAAAACCGTTCTTGTACACAATAGCTCTCTCTTTACAACTGTTGTGTAAAAATATCTAAAAAAGATAATCTAATATGATTATATGGTCTTAACTGGAGATCTAAATGTATAAACCAATCGCATTAAGGAATCTTGCAACATTTGCAAAGCTGCTTTTTCTGTTGAACGCAGCCAATGCAACGAAGCAACGTGAAAGGCTTCTTTCTAAGCCCTAACGTTATATTTTTAACAATTGAGCTTTGAATCAAGTCTCTGTTAAAGTTTAAAATAAAATTCAGTTTAAGTTACAAGCACGAAATATGACATCTTTATCTATACTTTCTTGTTTGAAATTTAATTTAACAAAAATCTCTCGTTTTGGATTTATTATAATCATTTAGAATTACGTTTCGAATTTTCAATTTTTAAGGAAAGTTCAATTCCATATTAGAGCGAAGATTTCGATAATAATTATATTCAGTGGTTTTGAGATACTTTCCTGTATTATTTTGTGGCATTAAATTTTCAGGTCCATATACCATATTCGTTCCTACGGACAAAGCCTTCAGGACGTTACTGGTGCAGCTGGGAGGGCCAGAGAAAGCCGAGCAGAAGTTCCACGACAATCCGAGACTTCTAAGTGGGGTACGCATCGGTGCTAAAAGCATCATTAATAATTTATCTGTCTAACGATATACTTCACTGACACCAGTTAGCTAACCGTAATTAAACTGATTTGCCGCTTTTCTCTATAGAAGAGAGATATGAAGACTCAATTAAACTATAATCTTGAAATTAACTGCGAGCTCGGAAAAATAAAACGTCAAGTGTTCTCCAGTAAAGAGCGTTGATGTCAATGAAATAAGAAGTATATACTAATAAGAATTCTTTGCAACAGCTCCTTCTTCATCATGTCATACCGGGAGCCTTCAGAATAGATTCTCTGCAGGACGAGATGACCGGCGTCAGTCTCGCAGGAACGCAGTTGCGGGTGAACGAGTACGCGATGCAGGATCACGAATGGAACGATGTAAAAGTAATTTTATATTTTAGAATCCCTCTTCAAATTTCGATAAAATCTCGTTCATTTATTTTAATTAAAATTTATTTCGTTTCTTTATTTTAATTAAAA